CATATTTTCGCTTGGTTCCCATAGATAGATGTAAAATTGTTCTCACAATTTAATATTTCTCAGGTTTTGAATTATTTTTAAAGCATTCATTTGTTCAATCATCAATTTTATATTATTTTGTTTATTTTATTATTGTAAACATATTTCATTTAATTCATAACTAAATATATATTACATATATTTTAAATATTTAATTTTCTGACTCCTCCCTCTGTAAGAAACATATGGGTTGTTAACTTTTATTCGCTTGCTTCCCATAGATAGATTTAAAATAATTCTTACAATTTAATGTTTCTCTGATGTTGGATTATTCTTAAACCATTCATTTGTTCAGCCAGAAACAAATTTTATAGGATCATTTAATATTATTTTATTATTGTAAACATATTTCATTTAATTCATAACTAAATATATATTACATATATTTTAAATATTTAATTTTCTGACTCCTCCCTCTGTAAGAAATATATGGGTTGTTAACCTTCATTCCAAACGTATATTTTCGCTTGCTTCCCTTTGATAGAAGTAAAATATTTCTTACAATTTAATGTTTCTCAGATGTTGGATTATTCTTAAACCATTCATTGTTCAGTCAGAAACAAATTTTATAGGATCATTTAATATTATTTTATTATTGTAAACATATTTCATTTAATTCATAACTAAATATATATTACATATATTTTAAATATTTAATTTTCTGGCTCCTCCCTCTGTAAGAAATAAATGGGTTGTTAACCTTCGTTCCAAACGCATGTTTTCCCTTGGTTCCCATAGATAGATGTAAGATAATTCTTACAATTTAATGTTTCTCATATGTTGGAGTATTCTTAAACCATTCATTTGTTCAGTCAGAAACAAATGTTATAGGATCATTTAATATTATTTTATTATTGTAAACATATTTCATTTAATTCATAATTAAATATATATTATATATATTTTTATATAATTAATTTTCTGACTCCTCCCTCTGTAAGAAATATATGGGTTGTTAACCATCGGTCCAAACGCATATTTTCGGTTAGTTCCCATAGATAGATGTAAAATAGTTCTAACAATGTAATCTTTCTCAGATGTTGAATTATTTTTAAAGCATTCATTTGTTCCATCCCATAATAATATTGTAATATATTTCGAAAGCCTCATTAGTTAACACAGGAGCGTCTTTCAATTTAATTTCTGATTCAAGTTTATGATGGAGGTGTTGGGACCTGGTAATATCGGTTCTTGTTGTCAACTATTTTTTAAGTTCTAGTTTTCTAATTCTATTCTATTTGTATACTATTTGTATGAGTAAGGCATCATTGTCTAAGATTCTGAATAAGTTTAATAAGCTCTTTAATTACAATACTGATTAGCTGGTTACTATTATTTAGTAGATGTATACAAGTTGTCTAGTATCTGGTTTCTATATGTTTAATAGATGTATACAAGTTGTTTATTAGATGTATACTAGTTGTTTACTAGCTGTTTAGTATCTGGCTACTATATATTTAGTAGATGTATACAACTTGTTTAGTATCTGGTTACTATATATTTAGTAGATGTATACAAGTTGTTCAGTATCTGGTTTCTATATGTTTAATAGATGTATACAATTTGTTTACTAGGTATATACAAGTTGTTTACTAGCTGTTTAGCATCTGGTTACTATATATTTAGTAGATGTATACAAGTTGTTTAGTATCTGGTTACAATATATTTAGTAGATGTATGCAAGTTGTTTAGTATCTAGTTTCTATATGTTTAGTAGATGTATACAAGTTGTTTACTAGGTGTATACAAGTTGTTTACTAGCTGTTTAGTATCTGGTCTATATATCTTAAATATCTGTTTACTAGCTGTTTAGTATCTGGTTTATATATCTTTAATATCTGTTTACTTGATGTTTACTATTTATTATTCGCTGGTTACTAGTTGTTATTAACGTCTACGAGCTTTTATAGTCTTTTGTTAAGAATGATCAAAAATCTTGATCACTAGACGACTTTCAATGTGAAGTAAAAACCTAAACTCTGATTTTCAATGTGTTTGCTATGTACGTAAGAAAGAATGCAAAGCCAAAATATCTCAAGATTGATATATAAATCTTAGAGGAACATGTCCGATTATGTTGGGGGAAGATGTATCCTGTGATTGTAAAACTAATTAAGAAATAAATTGTTCACAAGTTGTCTAAAAGCTGTGTAGAAGCTGTTTTGATAAACAATTTTTATTCATAATGACAGATATTAAGAATATATAATAATATCATCCACTTTAACTAGTATATTGTAAAAATAAAACATTTCCATTTTTCATGTTCTTTCATCTTATGTAGGTATAATAAATGTAATCTTAACTACGATAGCTAGCCTTAGATCCCATAACTATAGTTATTAGCTACAATAAAATGTTTAGAAAGAACAAAATATATGAATGCTCAAAATCGATTTAAAACTAACTATAATTGGGAAAGTAATTGAAATCGCTCCAGCGTAATACAGTAAAAATCAAAAAACACTGTGACTATCCCATTTTCTATCACCATAACAAATGAGTATACTCACACCTAAATGACCAATTGTATCCTTTGTCCAAAATGTCTGTGACTTTCACTTATAAATTTGTCACCGATAATTTAAATCCCATTAAGCAAACCACTTATTGCTAACCGTGCCATAACCCCAGAGTCAAGTTGGTTACCTACAATAAACACAGGTGGTGGTGTAAAGGATTGCTAAAATGCTTCGACGCAGGCGCAAAGGTCAAGGTAATGGAAAAATTCCTGGAATATTATCCCTTCAAAAAGAGGTCATAAAAAATATGATAAGGAAAGTATTTATTATTTGCGAACCATTTATAACTGTTAACAGCAACACAAATAGAAGTAATTGAAATCGCTCCGCCGTAATACAGTAAAAAAAAAAAAACCATATCCTTTGTCCAAAATGTCTGTGACTTTCACTTATAAATTTGTCACCGATAATTTAAATCCCATTAAGCAAACCACCCATTGCTAACCGTGCCATAACCCGAGAGTCAAGTTGGTTACCTACAATAAACACAGGTGGTGGTGTAAAGGATTGCTAAAATGCCTCGACGCAGGCGCAAAGGTCAAGGTAATGGAAAAAATTCATGGAATATTATCCCTTCAAAAAGAGGTCATAAAAAAAATAATAAGGAAAGTATTTTTTATTTGCGAATCATTTATAACTGTTACCAACAACACAAATAGTTATGTTACAAGGGGTTCCGAAAAAGTCCACAGCGAAGGTGCAAAAGTAAGCACAAACAATAAAAAACCCTTGGAAGATTGGAAAAACAAAATTTCAAATTTAAGTGGAATAACACTCTCAAAACTAATACAAGGGTTAGTCATAAATTTCTTGCCAGCACTAACAGTATTTAAAGAGCTTGATAACCCAGGCAGAACACCAGAAGACATCACAGCAGAAGGATGACCGAAATTCCTAGCGACATCACTGAAATGCGCGCTCTCCTGAGCGAGCAAAGGCGCGAGTGGGCCGCGAAAGGAGAGCCCTACCCGACAGAAGAATGGGCACGCCAACAGGCGAAAGCGCTGCAGGAAGAAGCAGAGCATCAGTATTGGGAGGAACTCCCACTAATAGACGCGCTGAGGACCACTGTGTTTCAGCTCCGGAGGGTTCTATCGAATCGTCCGGTAAACGAGGATAGGTTGCTCGCGCTGGTAGATCGCCAGGAGCAAAACATGCTAAACAACACTGGTAGAAAAAACATCGTAAATGTCACTATTTCGCCAACGTTTCAACTATTTTTCCCAGCGGTTTAGATCCTAACATGAAAATCGTAAAAACGAAAACGTTAAATAGTTAATTATTTTTTGAATAATTAAATCCAACGATTTTTTAATTTCGATCAAATATGATAAAATAGTAAAAAATAATTAAATTAAATATGTTCCATAGTAAAAAGTATTATATTTTTATATTTATTTTAAATATTTTCATATTTAGTTCCAGTAAATAGAATATTTCATTTGAATGGTTTTTATAGTTAAAATAATTATAGCCCGCCCTCAAACTCAGCATATTTATACCCGTTACTCGTAGAGTAAAAGGGTATACTAGATTCGTCGGAAAGTATGTAACAGGCAGAAGGAAGCGTTTCCGACCCCATAAAGTATATATATTCTTGATCAGGATCACTAGCCGAGTCGATCTAGCCATGTCCGTCTGTCCGTCTGTCCGTCTGTCCGTCTGACCGTCTGTCCGTCTGTCCGTCTGTCCGTCTGTCTGTCCGTCCGGATGAACGCTGAGATCTCGGAAACTATGAGAGCTAGGCTATTGAGATTTGGCGTGCAGATTCCTGAGCTTCTTACGCAGCGCAAGTTTGTTTCAGTAGACTGCCACGCCCACTCTAACGCCCACAAACCGCCCAACTCTGTAACTCCTACAGTTTTTATGCTAGATAGAAAATCTTAACTGAAATGTATTTTTCTCATCAAAACCTATCGATTGACCTAAAAAAAAGTTTGCCACGCCCACTTAAACGCCCACAAGCCGCGAAAACCTGTGACGCCCACAATTTGCATGCTAGATAAATAATTTTAACTGAAATGTATTGGTGTCGTCAATACCTATCGATTGATCCAAAAATAATTCTGCCACTCCCACTCTAACGCCCATAACGCTTAAATCTGTCTACCGCCGGTAGGTGGCGCATTTTAATTTCGCTTTGCTGCTTGCATATCTCCATTTCCCTTTGAGTAACGGGTATCTGATAGTCGAGGTACTCGACTATAGCGTTCTGCCTTGTTTTAGTTGGATTAAATAGTTCTCATATTTAAATCAGACTGGGATGAACTTTAATACAAATACAAATTTTATTTAAATTAAATATAATCCCCGTTAAAAGAACTGTACTTTATGTTTGATTTAAATGTATTATTTAAACCATACTATTATGGTGCATATTCAATTTAAACCAATCTGTAGTTTAAAACAAGCGTGATTTATATTTAATAAAGACCCAAATAAGTATGTGGTTTTATTGAAAATAAACGTAAACTTATAATCCAAACAATTGTTCTGCTTAAACTCTAGTTTTACAATGCTAACACGTCATCATTACTTTTGTTTTAAACACATTTAAATACATTAACGTAACTCTTAGAATTTATATGATACATATATACATATACATATTATACATTATTATACATATTTTTTATAATCACACATTTTTTTGTTTTGCCACATTCGTACGCCTGCATGTGCGTACAAAAATTTCCTGCGAGTCATAGTAGTGATAATTTCTTTCGCTTGTTGGTTCCTTTAATGACGGTCCACGAATTATTTAAGATGACAGATGTGAGCAATACGGTGTAAATGTAGTCCTTGTAATCTGTGAATAAGAATATGTTATTAGATTTTTGGTAATGGCATAATTTAGAAAAAGTCAAGCTTATCATAAAAAGATAAAATTTATAAATTTAAAAAAATTATACATTACCAAGTGATACAGTTTTCTGAACTGTCTTTAATAGTTTAAGTCGCGCTTTGTTTTGCATTTGCTCTTCGTAAAAGCAAAAAACCCTTTCCTTAAATGGGTCCCATATATAAAATTGCTATAATTGCTATAAAGAAAAAGTTAATTAGTTTTTTAATAAGTATCGAGTAGGTGTTTTTATATAAAGGGATTTAAATAAGACAAAAATATTGTTTAAATTTATTTCGTTTTTTATTTTTTTTTAATTTCAAAATTAGTTACATTTAAAGAAAAATCAAGTGAAAGAACCAAAAAATATTATAAAGAAATAGATGAAACGCCTGCGACGCCACAGAACCGAATGCAACGGCAGCAAAGCGTCTTTTTTGCGTCTTTTTATTGTTTTCCTTCTTGTGCATTCTACTCCTTTTATCTAGTTTGCGCGCGTTTTCACTTACTTTCCTTTCATATTCTTCATTTCTTTCGCGTATTTTTTATCCACTTCATGTTTATTACCCAATCGTATATAGCTTTGTTTATTTCGTTAAATGTATTATCTAAATTTTCACAAAATAATAATGCGCACAACAAAGAAGAAACTCAAAAAGGAAAAATGCGACAAAAAAAACGTGGACATGCAAATTAAGTTTCTCACTAGTGAATTGATTAAAAAAATTTATTTTTATTTTTAACAATCACTTATTCACTATTACAATTTTACAATAGGTCGAACTTATTTAATTCACTGCTCTTGTATCTATTCTCGAATATTTGTTCTGCTCGATTCGGATCTCCAAAACGGACTGCCTGCTCTCTAGTTCAATGATCAATAATCAAACCTCGGCTTAAGAGATTTTATCCCCAAAAATTGATAAAGAGAATGACTCAAGAGAGTCGGAAAATAGGATGATGCAATTTGCCAATTAAATTCGAAGTCCAATCTTGGCCGGAAATTGGTGTTTACATTAGCGGAGTTTAGGGACCGCTTTTGGGATCTTTTTGTTTACGTTAGCGGACTCGGGACTCGCTTGGGTCTCCGATTCTTTACAATATCGGTTTGGATGTTTACAGCATCCGTTTGATTCGGACTGCGTGAAATTGATCTGGGTGGGAATGATTTGGAGGCCTGCTTGGCAGAAATAGCTGACCACGGATTTATCTCGGGTCTGTCAGAGTTCTTTGGAAATTAGCTCTCGGCTCAAAGTTGTTTATAAATTGGGTAAGAGCCCCTAAATAATGTGTCATATAACTTGCACATGCCTTAATATTAAGTAATTATTGTATTTTTATTTGACTCACCTTTTTTCTGTACTTTTTTATTACACTTAAATGAACACTTGTCTATCGAGCTCTATTAATCACTTTTACATCCGATCACGAGAACCGCTTGCTTCGAAGTAATCGCGGGATTCGCTACAAAGCGGAGTGTCAAACTATTTCGTATATACATACATACATATGCATGTCTGCAAATAGGACGCACAAAATCTGTCGCGTGCCGTTAATTTACATAGAGGTCAAAGTAATGGGGAAGAAAATAAGAAAATATGTACAAATAAGTCCTTAAGTTTAATAACTTGTATATGTCAATTTAGTATCATTTATTTTATTTTATTATATTTATATATTATAAGAACATATCTTATTGTCAAAACATCGGTACACAAGAAATATTTATGTTCTTATGCACATACATATTTTCTTGACCGCCAATGTACAAATGCGAATGGAAGAAGAAGACGCGCTTGCGTTTGCCGTTTTGCTTGTTCATATTTGTCTCTAATTTGTCTGAATGTATGTAAGTATGCACATTGTGCCGTTAGTTTTAGTTTTTCGTTACGGCCCAGCGTTTACAATGCACGCACATTTTTTCTTCGGCTAAGCATGTTTTTGTAATTTTAATAGTAAATTACAAAGCCAAATCTTATGATATTTGTCATGGAAATAGAAAGAGGCTGCCGGTGGTTGGGCAGCCGTAACTAAAACCATTTTCTTTAAATATTAAAGCTGTTTTTCTTTTGCAAATTACTAATAATTTAAATTATGTTGTGTATATGGGTCACAAACTTATTACATATACATAGATATGTAATTTGATTTATAATTTACAATTATTTGGTCAAATACAAATTTTGAAAACGTTCTATATTCAAAATAAAAGAGTAAATATTCCGAACAAATTGAAAAAGTATTTACTTGAAATATAAAAAACCATCAAATATACTATGAATTTAACTACTTTTTATAATAGTTAAAACCAAGATGGCAACATTGAGTTTAAATGTGACTAACTTGTTTTTAAATAAAAATCACTTTGATTTGAATGTTTACATATTTGACATAAGGCTTAAATATGTTTTTTATTTAAATGAAAGGTTTTTATATTTAGTATGACTATGCAGGGAAGTAAAAAAATCAAATAAAAATATATTTGATTTCACTACGCGTTTTTTCTACCAGTGTATGAAGCATGGATGGCGACCCACGAGAGGATGAAGGAAGAGGCGGACTGGTATACCGCAGTGTACCAAGGCCTGTTTCGGAACCCATTGTTCCCGAGCTTTCCCGTCACCAGGCGGAGGAGCGTCTGCCCAGGTATGGCCTTATTCCCGACCGAGGAGCGGAGACAGCAGGCGGCTGAGAGAGAGGCGGAGGAGCCACTCTTCCGGCACATTCCGCCGATTTTCATTCTAAGGGATATTAAGCAATTAGAAAAAAAAAAAAAAAAAAATAATTATAAAAATAAAAAATAATAAATAATATAAATATATAAAAAGTACAAAAAACAGATATTACCAGGTCCCAACGCGCCTTCGTCGAGGCATTTTCGGAATTCCTTGTAACATAACTATTTGTGTTGTTCGTAACAGTTATAAATGATTCGCAAATAAAAAATACTTTCACGGTTAGCAATGGGTGGTTTGCTTAATGGGATTTAAATTATCGGTGACAAATTTATAAGTGAAAGTCACAGATATTTTGGACAAAGGATATGGTTTTTTTTTTTTTACTGTATTACGGCGGAGCGATTTCAATTACTTCTATTTGTGTTGTTGGTAACAGTTATAAATGATTCGCAAATAAAAAATACTTTCCTTATTATATTTTTTATGACCTCTTTTTGAAGGGATAATATTCCATGAATTTTTTCCATTACCTTGACCTTTGCCCTGCGTCGAGGCATTTTAGCAATCCTTTACACCACCACCTGTGTTTATTGTAGGTAACCAACTTGACTCTGGGGTTATGGCACGGTTAGCAATGGGTGGTTTGCTTAATGGGATTTAAATTATCGGTGACAAATTTATAAGTGAAAGTCACAGACATTTTGGACAAAGGATACAATTGGTCATTTAGGTGTGAGTATACTCATTTGTTATGGTGATAGAAAATGGGATAGTCACAGTGTTTTTTGATTTTTACTGAATTACGCCGGAGCGATTTCAATTACATTCCCAATTATAGTTAGTTTTAAATCGTTTTTTGACATTCATATATTTTGTTCTTTCTAGACATTTTATTGTAGCTAATAACTATCGTTATGGGATCTAAGGCTAGCTATCGTAGTTAAGATTACATTTATTATACCTACATAAGATGAAAGAACATGAAAAATGGAAATGTTTTATTTTTACAATATACTAGTTAAAGTGGATGATATTATTATATATTCTTAATATCTGTCATTATGAATAAAAATTGTTTATCAAAACAGCTTCTACACAGCTTTTAGACAACTTGTGAACAATTTATTTCTTAATTAGTTTTACAATCACAGGATACATCTTCCCCCAACATAATCGGACATGTTCCTCTAAGCAAACACATTGAAAATCAGAGTGTTAGTTTTTACTTCAAATTGAAAGTCGTCTTGTGATCAAGATTTTTTGATCATTCTTAACAAAAGACTATAAAAGCTCGTAGACGTTAATAACAACTAGTAACCAGCTAATAATAAATAGTAAACATCAAGTAAACAGATATTAAAGATATATAAACCAGATACTAAACAGCTAGTAAACAGATATTAAAGATATATAAACCAGATACTAAACAGCTAGTAAACAACTTGTATACACCTAGTAAACAACTTGTATACATCTACTAAACATATAGAAACCAGATACTAAACAACTTGCATACATCTACTAAATATATTGTAACAAGATACTAAACAACTTGTATACATCTACTAAATATATAGTAACCAGATGCTAAACAGCTAGTAAACAACTTGTATACATCTAGTTAACAACTTGTATACATCTATTAAACATATAGAAACCAGATACTGAACAACTTGTATACATCTACTAAATATATAGTAACCAGATACTAAACAAGTTGCATACATCCACTAAATATATAGTAGCCAGATACTAAACAACTAGTAAACAACTTGTATACATCTAATAAACAACTTGTATACATCTATTAAACATATAGAAACCAGATACTTAACAACTTGTATACATCTACTAAATATATAGTAACCAGCTAATCAGTATTGTAATTAAAGAGCTTATTAAACTTATTCAGAATCTTAGACAATGATGCCTTACTCATACAAATAGTATACAAATAGAATAGAATTAGAAAACTAGAACTTAAAAATAGTTGACAACAAGAACCGATATTACCAGGTCCCAACACCTCTATCATAAACTTGAATCAGAAATTAAATTGAAAGACGCTCCTATGTTAACTAATGAGGCTTTCGAAATATATTACAATATTATTATGGGATGGAACAAATGAATGCTTTAAAAATAATCCAACATCTGAGAAACATTAAATTGTAAGAATTATTTTACATCTATCTATGGGAAGCAAGCGAAAATATACGTTTGGACCGATGGTTAACAACCCATATATTTTTTGTTACAGAGGGAGGAGTCAGAAAATTAATTATATAAAAATATATATAATATATATTTAATTATGAATTAAATGAAATATGTTTACAATAATAAAATAATATTAAATGATCTTATAACATTTGTTTCTGACTGAACAAATGAATGGTTTAAGAATAATCCAACATCAGAGAAACATTAAATTGTAAGAATTATTTTACATCTATCTATGGGAAGAAAGCGAATAAAGGTCAACAACCCATATATCTTACAGAGGGAGGAGTCAGAAAATTAAATATTTAAAATATATGTAATATATATTTAGTTATGAATTAAATGAAATATGTTTACAATAATAAAATAAACAAAATAATATAAAATTGATGATTGAACAAATGAATGCTTTAATAATAATTCAACATCTGAGAAATATTAAATTGTGAGAACAATTTTACATCTATCTATGGGAACTAAGCGAAAATATGCGTTTGGAACGAAGGTTAACAACCCATAAATTTCTTACAGAAGGAGGAGTCAGAAAATGAATTATATAAAAATATATATAATATATATTTAATTATGAATTAAATGAAATATGTTTACAATAATAAAATAAATAAAATAAAATTAAATGATCCTACACAATTTCTTTCTGACTGCAATTAAAACTACAGTACGGATGAAGGGAAAGTATTTTGTTCAATGAGGTACGTCGGCTACTTGCGAGTTGGTGCATGGTCGGAACATCATCCCTTATCAATGGTCTTGAGATG